TTGCTCAGGGTGCACCACGTGGGGGTAAGTCTATCGCACAACCCATATTTATTGAAAGTAAATTTTGCATTAAAAGTAGAACTCTTTAATAAAAAGTGGCTCTTAAAAAACCCAGAACTTAGTCTAAATAGATTGCTACAAAATTCACCTAGCAATTCCGCTTATGAGAGATTATGAGATTGAGAGAATTCGATCTTTCTGTTCTCTTTAATGTGTGAAAATTTTGCTTAAAGCAAAAAATGCCGTCAAAGTAGAGAGAGAGAGAGAGAAAGGAATTCCCGGGAAAAGGGTGTGCAAAACAAACTCTCCGCGCAGAATTCAGATTTCTGATATAAACAAATTAAGGCCTCAACGGAAAATTTTTCAAAATCAAATTGAAAGCTGCATGGAATAAGAAAATAGTTGAGAGATACGTTAAAACTTCATCAAAAATTAACAAATAAGAAGTAACAGGTATATGTAAATTATTAGTCAAATGGCAGGCATTTTGAAAGTTACCATTAGCTTTTGATTTGAGTCTAAAATTCACATAGGGGAGGAACATTAAAGTGAGAAAAAGTCGAGAGGGGGAACAGAAAAGTGATTCACATATGTAAAAGAGCCGACAGACACAAAGGTAAAAAAAGGTATGGTGAGTACTGTGAAAGTGGTGGAATATGACATACGGTCGGGTCATTGGAATTTGAAGTCAGAAATCAACCGTCGGTTTATAGATTTTTTTGTCCCTATGAGAATACGTTTCCCAGGGTGCACCACGTGGAGGTAAATCTATCGCGTATCCCATTCATTGTATTTCTAATAGTGCATTTATCAATACGTTTTGTCTTTAAAACGGAAATTATTTGTATCCCTTTGAATTGTCTTTTGTCCTGATTCGGAGTAGTAACAGATGAAATGCATTTATTTGCGAATCGTTCAAAGGTTAATTTAGGAAGGATTCTACCGCAATTTTCCGTAGTTGCCACATAGCATCCCATTCCATTATCACCTTTCCAGATCCATGAAGCCTACTCTAAGAAAATCACTAACATGGAAATACGTCTGATGTCCATGACCATCTAAATTAGTACCTTTATTCAAAAAAAAACAAGGAGTAATGTTTCATGCAGGGTATCTAAATACAAAATTTAGTGTTGTTTATAGATAAATTTGAAAGAAACAAGATTTAATCCGGTCATTAAAATTTTCGCATTGTAAGTTCTGATTTTATTTAATGTCTATAATGATGTAAGCTATTTAACGGATATTATTTTCACAGTTCATTTATTTTCCAAGCTTCATTGATAATGCTTAATAAATACGCTTATTTCCATTGGCCATGATCAGGGGCCAGCCGGATCTTCGATCGGATGTAATTGCATTCACCGACAAGCGGACTACTTTGCTGGCAAAATTCCATCATTTGTGCCGTGTGCAACACATAGCTACCTCGAATTCCACGGATCTGCAACTGACCTTCGCAATCCAGTACGTACTTTTCAATTGATCAGAGTTGTTTTCTTAGCTAGAAGAAGGCCCTTTTCACGGTTTCTTGTCAATGCGCCATCTCTTTGCACGAAAGAGATTGCTTCGGGATAATAATAATAATAAAAACAACAATTATCTTGTGTAAGCAGAGAAGCGTTATATTATCCTGTCCGCATGCATTTGAGACAAATTTATCAAGATCACTTTTACAGAACAGGCGGTGTTTCTAACATCAAGGCGTGTACCCACTGGATGTTTTTTTTACATCTGGGCTAACATTTCTAATTTTGGTACCTATTTTCCTCCGGTTCAGAGTGCATTGTTAAAAACTAATGGCATTGAAATATTTTTCAACATATATATATATATATTTATATATATATATATATTGTTCAATTTTTAAAAAAAATTCATATTTCCATAGGAGATATGAATATGAAATTTTCGGATTATATAACAAATTTAATCAAGTTTGAAGTAATTAAATTAATTTTCCGAACGTAGTATGCTTAAAAGTTACCATAACGAGAAATTTTATTTTTTTACTTTCTCTTCAAACTGTGAGTAGAGGTAAAAAGTTGCATTTATTTTTGAATAAATTTTTTTTCATTTTTCTCTTTCAATAGAATCGGTTTCATTCGAGAAAATACAGAGAATATCAGCCAGGTGCCATGTTAGCAACATCATCCAACAAGATAAAACCCTGGAAACGTGCTCATTCCGATGAGTCCCTTTCTGTGCATGTACGCGTGAATGCTCAAACCCCGACAAGTGTCATAACTGCCACCATGCCATCGATGCCAGTTACTACAACCGCAACCAACTCAAAGTCCTCTGAGGTAACTTCAAACGCTGTCCCAGTTTCTGACACTTGTACAAGGTTACCTGATTACAGACCTGTCTCTGTTAACTATGAGGCAAGTTTGATGGACATGATTGAAGCAAATCGTGTCTCTCAGTAGATTGAAATTAATTAAGTATTATTTGAAAAAAGCGAAGATATATGGACATTACAAATGTTTATAACATATTTGCCGAAGATTTTTTAAAATTTCTTCTTATTTAATGAAAATATGAAGTGTATTTAACCAGTAGATGCTAACTAGTGAGCATTTTTTGCTTATTTTAGAATGCACCCTCACGGAATTTGAATGGATCCTCAATTCAGAAACCCAATGAAGAGACGTCAAAAATTCCGAATGTCCACCAGAATATGTCCAAGTAAGCTTTTGTTTGAACTTTCAACCAGAAGTCGCTTATGTAAGCACGCGAATGATTTGTAGTCCTTAATAATTTGACTAGAATATAAAAAAGGTAAGTTATCGGAAGATGGAACCTCTTTTGGTCATGCAAAGGTAGAAATCAGAAACGAGTGCAAGTTTGCCTATAAGATCACGGTAGTTCGACTTGGAGTATTTATGATGACCTTAATATCCTGGTAATGAGTCAACTTGCATATTTAGTAGTCTTCGATTCTCGTGTACTTTTAAGGTCATAATCGATAAGTACAAGATTAGTATTAGAGTTTTATTCAAATTATGCACATGATAGCACTATTAAGTCGGATTTAGGAAATCTAAGGCCACTTTGATCCCGAGAAAGCTAAAGAAAAAGTACTTCTTGCATACACCTTATGGATTCTACTCTGTTAGATAATGTAATTATGATTGATTAGTTAACAGTCTATTACTCCGTTCATCTTGTCGAGACTTGAATACTCCGACTAAAAATGAGCGAGAGAGATAGAGAGACCTCAACACGATTAAACAAGCTTCTAAGTCGCCTGACATACTGCCTGAGTGGATTTCGCTGAATCACAATTGCGCTATTGACGAAGAACAACTCGTCTGTACCTCGGAAATTAGATTCCACTTTTCTTTTGTGCTTAATCACAAGATCTTCCTCCCTTTTGAAGGTGGAATTTCGCCCTCCCAGATGCCTTTTGAATATGGGGAAAATGGGAAGGAAAATGAGGAGCCCTGTTAGTGATCAAATGTGTAGAAAAGTCTGGATATTCATTTAATTTCTGTCAATACATATGCTTGTTTGACTTGAACTAGTAACTTTGTTTGCATGAAGGGAAAACTGCACTCTTATGAACTAACAGTTTATTGATTTTATTGATTCTCGTTTTAAGGGACATTTTGCTTGTGACATTTATTAGTTTCATTGATTTTTTATAAATAAAATATTGTTCCTCATCGTCCATTTAGACAAGGGGAGTAAAATACCTGGGTCTTTCAAATGAGAGAGAGAGGTTCAGATTTTTTGCATTTGAAATTACCCATTTTCAGCTACACTTAATAAAGTAAATAATTTGCATAATCGTTATATAACATTTTCTTGCACCTGGATATATTTCATTTTGGGCTTGGTACCTCCGGTTTGACAGCTGTTTTCAGTTTCGCTGACGTTACTGGGTGTGACCTGTCAAGAAGTGATTAACCTACCACTAGCGCTCTATTTCCTCATCCTCGTTTGTGCTTTGTGAAACGTTAAAAAAATCAATTTAGAATCAATAGACACTTTTCCCCCTCCCCCACCGCCTGGTCATTAAAGATCTCAAAGTACTTCTCTGCTTAAAGTGCAAATATTGTTTACTCATAGCATACATTAAAAGTGAACTTTATGATCATCTAGGACTCATTTGTAGGAGCTCTAAGATGTTACTGCCTTGAAAGTTTTAATATGTGAGATTGTTTTAATGAGCTGGTTTACTCCACTCTGCCCTTTATCTCAATGTGGTGATTTTGAATCTACATTCATTCGCACACCTGGAGGTCAACTAAATGCATTCCAATACTGTATGAAAATGCTAGTATATTAGCAAATCTGTGTTAACGATAGCGAGAACGCGGAACGCAAAGAATGAATATAATTCATAACCAGTCTCTTCAACTACACACTTGATTAGTCATTACTTACAATAACTCTTATACTACATTACATAAACCCAATTTCTGATTGGTTGAGAGATTTCTTTACGCACTCCGCATTTAAGAAATGTTTGAGCACGTATGAGATACCTTTGGCCAATCTTGGTATGCTTGAACCCCCTTCTCAAACCAATTACTTGAAATAATAACTGCATCGTCAAGTTGCACCATTTTTTTTCTCCTATTTAACCAGCGTGCATTGAGTTCCTTAAGTGTATTTCTAAGTTTGGTGAACGAAGTTGAAATCCCGCCCACTTTCAGTTAAGTGAAAAGGCGTGATGAGATGGGGACGCTAGCGGATTTCTTGTTGATTATGGGACGCAAATTGTGCTCCAGCTATGCTCCCATTAGAATGATGCTCACTGTCGATTGCATGAATATTTAATCTTGGTTTTAGTGGTTCCTAAATGGAGGAAGAAGATGGTTAGGCGGTATCTCCTTACAAAAGGGCGTAGCCTATTTTGCATTTCAAAAAAAATCAGGCATCTACCAGCAATGACATTCTACATGGCATTAGATTTCTTAACTAGTTTAAATTGTGCTTGCTAATGTGAATGTTTTACTTGTGCTTTTGAGTAAATTAACGGGTAATTAGCATTGGGGTATTAAAAGAAATAGGTATCACTGGAATAGCTTTCCAATCATTACTGTCTAATATATTTCTAACAAGTGTTAAAACCGCTGACAATTTCTGGGTTAATGTTGAAATAGAAACTTATTTAACTCTTCTAACTAATTGTTATTTAATATTTAGAAAATAAGACAGTTGAGTTGTCTGTCTTATTATAATTCTAATCTATTTAAATGAGGCGAACATTTTGAATTCCATTTAGTTTGAAAGCATGCCCTCGTTGTGCTTTCACAGTCAATGCATTTTATTAAGGATTTTTATTTCAACTACTTAAATACCCATTCAGTAGGCATGGCAATTTTGTCATGAATTTGTTGCATGTGGTCTCAGCACATATGCAAGAATTCAACACATTCTGGAACGTACGATCGTGCCGATAATCGTGATTGGGAGCAAATGAGTTCATGAGAGCTGAGACTTTTCGATCAATCAATAATAAATAGTCATTACAGATTCAGAGTAGCCAAAATAGAACTTAATGACTAACCTCCGTGTCAGTGAAATACCACCATGGTAAATGCATTCCACGTCATACGACTGTTTCCACTGCATAGGGAGGCAACTTGGCTAATTTCAGAGCCTTTAAATGCTAAATTTTTTTGCTATAGAATTTACTGAGGATAAGTCAACCTTATTCGTATAGCAATGGGCAACATTTATTCATTTTTTTTATTTATATCAAATGGCAGGCGTTTTGATAGTTATCATTAGCCCTTTAGTTGACTTCAGGCTTCACAGATGGAAAGGAACATCAAAGTGAAAGAAAATCGAGATGGGGGGGGGGCAGAAGAGTGTTTCAAAGATGTAAAAAGACAGACACAAAGTTAGAAAAAAGATGAGGTGAGTACAGTGAAAGTAGTCGTATTTGACATACAGTGGGGTGAAGGTAGTTTGAAGTGAGAAGTCAATTGCCGGTTTATAGACTTGTTTGCCGTGTGAGCATACGTTGCCCAGGGTGCACCAAGTGGAGGTAAGTCTATCACGCACCCTGCAATAGGTAACGTAAGTACACAAAGTCCACTTCTTCTACTTTTCTACCTCGTCCGGTCAATATTGGGTGAAATGCTTTTACATTTCTAACTATTTATTGATTTCACGGAAAATTATTTAACACAACGCTAGTTGAACACTTTCGAAACTGATAGGCAGCAATTTGATAAGTATGGCCTTGTTTTAACTTATCTTTTACAGGATCTGATACATCACCTTAGTTGACCCTGTTTTCTTCTCTCGGTCATTCGGTTCACTTTAAGCTTCACTTAACAAACAACTACA